TCCATATCAGAACAGGCCAATAATCGCATGCTCCAGTATTGCAAGGCCAATCGGAAACGATTCGCACTCACCAAGCTGGCAACGGCCAAGGGGAAGGCCCCCGTAAGGTAGATAAAGTCGGATACCCCTGGTACCTCAGAGCCTGTGCGCCTGGGACTTCTCCAAAAAAATGACCATTCTCTGCGCATCAAAGCTAATCTAGACTTTGAGCGGCGGGAGGTGATTATCAAGAACACCGGGGGTAAGCTGTACGCAGTCCCCATGCGCCTCACCCTCCGCATGGCTACCAACCCGCCACGTAGATCTTACCCAGAGGTAGGCGGGCCGATTCGAACAATCGCCTGGGACGGACTCCTAGAGGACTTAGAGACTAGTAGCGAAGAACACGCGTCCCCACTCCCCGAGGATTCGGAAAACGAGTACGAGACGGACCCGATGATTCAAGAGTTGATGCGAAAGGTAACCCGTTATCCTGTCTAGCAGAAAACGACGAAAACGTTCGTACTGACCGAAGAAAATGTCCAACGAACTCGAGCTCTGATCATAGGAGAACCCCTGGTACAAGTGTCAAGGATGCCCGACTCTTCGGAACCCCCTCGGACCCTGTACGAGGGCGCTACTCCCTTGCTTGTCCCGATACGTAGATAAGCGGTCCTTCTGCGACGTCACGGAACCCCCTCCCCGATCGCTTCTTACCACAGACAAGGAGATACAATTGTTGCGTCTGGGAGCGGAAGTACAGGCTCCGGAACCCCCTAGGTGCCCCGAAGCCTCGCTGTTTGATGTCGGGATCGCTGAGAAATCGGTGGATCCCCGGGATATCGCGGACGGGATAACCCCCGAAGAACATGTGGCCATCCGAGATGAGGAAGCCCAGATCGTAGCCACCGTGTTCTCGTGGCGATCGGACAACTCTTTCATCTTTTCCCCGCCGCCCTGTGACTCTAAGGCAGTACATACCAAACACGTTATAGTTGATATACACGGACGGCCTTATGAGTTACACGTGTCAGAATACGTGCCCGACGGAACCCATCTACTTATTGCAGAGATCGTACAGGAATATCGGGGTGCTATCAGCATTGATGACGCGGACATCGGGTTATCCTTAATAATCCAACACGAGATTCAGACCGACAATCACCCGCCGATTCATTGCAAACCGTATCGATACTCATTGGCAGAACGAAAGGCGGCACTCGAGCGAATCCGGGAATTCGAGGCTAACGGTTGGATAGAAACCGCTACAGGTCCTTGGTCCTTTCCAGTAGTTTTGTTTCCGAGAAAGAACTGATCGATTCACATTTGCATTGATTGTCGGAAATTGAATGACATCACGATCAAGGATGTGTACCCCCTCCCTCGAATTGATGATCTGCTGGATGCGATTGGTTGTGCGAATTATTTTAGTAAATTTGATATTCGGCACGGGTTCCACCATATCCTTGAGGGAAGAGGATCGGCCGAAGACGGCGTTTGTCTTGTTTGAGGGCACGTGGTAGTGGGTTCGATGCCCTATGGGTATATGCAATGCTTGGGGACTTTCCGGCGGACAATGAATGTCACTTTCCATAACTTCGTAAACAAGACCAGGTTAACTCAGGGCATGATGAATTTTTGCGTTATCGTGTACATGGACGATATTTTGGTGTATTCTGAATCATTCCAAGGACACACGCAGCATATTGAATGGACACTTGGCTCGCTGCAGGACGCCGGTTTCAAGATTGCGTTGGAGAAAAGCGAATTCTTCCTGTCCGAGATCTCATTCCTGGGATACGTGGTAACCCGAGGAGGCTTGAGACCGGATTCGAGGAAGGTCGAGGCTGTTCAGGAAGCACCCACGCCCACGTCATTGACGCAGGTTCAAGCCTTCGTGGGACTGGCCTCGTACTATCAACGGTTTATCAAGGGCTTTGCGGCAGTCGCTCGGCCCCTGACGAACCTCTTGCGGAAGGACCAGCCGCTGAACTAGGACGCGGAGTGTGAGCAGGCCTTTTGCACTTCGAAGGAGGCCCTGGCCTCGACCCCTATTTTAATCCGGCCCGATCCCGAGAGCCAGTTCCTACTCATTACTGACTGGCAGCCCGAGGCTATCTCCGCTATCCTAGCTCAGAAGGGGAAAGACGGGCGGGAGCACGTGGTCGAATATGCTTCGAGGACAGTGCCGGACGAAAGGAAGAATGACTCGGCGCCACAAGGAGAATGCTACGCTGTCGTCTGGGGAATCCAGCACTTCCACCCGTATCTCTACGGGCAGAAGTTCCTCCTCGTAATGGATCACGAGCAATTGCTGGCCCTCAACACGGGAATGATTGGGCGATGGGCGGTGAGGCTGCAGGAGTATGACTTCGATATTGTCCACAGAAAAACAGAAAGACATGGGAACGCTGACGGATTGACACGGCTGCACCGGCCAGGCAAGGTGCCATGCAGCGAAGAGATCACTCCGTGGAAGGACCCGGAACAGCCCAAGGGACCCGGGTACGGCCAGGTGAAGGTTTTCCCTCGGCAGGCGAAGAAGTGACACGTGTCCTTATGGCGGCCCAGAGAGAAGAAAATGTTAAGGGCCCTCTCTCTCCTTCTTCCTCTTCTCTATTCTACCTCCCCGATCGTTTCTGTTTTCCATGTGAGTCCATCTCGAGCATCCACTCCATTTCGGTCAAGCCAAAAAACGAAGGGTACGTCGAGTGGGTAGAGTGTGCCACGTGCGTAGTCAGGGTCCATGGATCATGCGTCCAGTATAGGAGTCCGCAGAAGAGGTGGCTCTGCCACCTGTGCCGTACTGACAAGATTCCGACGGAGGCTCGATTCTTGGAAGCGACGTCGGAAGGCCTGGAAAATATCTTACAGTATAGACGGGCAGAGGTGTGGACATATGTCGCTTTGATAGCGACCGTCGTAGGGAACCCTCTTCGAGAATTCTCCAAGGACGATCGGAGACGGACCCATGAAAGGGCGCTGGACTATAGGTGGAATGAGGTACGGTTAGAAAAGCACAAAACAAACGGGAGCGGAATATGGATGGTGGTTCCGCAACCGTTCATGAGGTATGACTGGGTTAAGGCAGCCCACGAAGAGACAGCAGTCCATTTCATGGTCAGGATCACCGAGTCCGCCATTGACAAGAACGAATGGTATTGGTCCAACATTCGGGACGACATTAAATATATTGTTAAAAATTGTTCTGTATGTGTGGCCGACAAGGCACCGATTCAGCCACCTAGGTCGATAGTGCCCACCGTAGTCCAACGACCATTTCAGAGGGTTAGCATGGACACGACGGATATTATCGTCCCCCCTGGACCGAATAGTTGCGAATATTCGATTCTCTTGGTATTCGTCGACCACTTCTCAAAGCGGATCGAGGCCTACCCGTGTCGGACAAGACACACAGCGAAAATATCGTGGTATGTCAACCGTTTCCTTGGGATACATCAGGACACCGAGGAAATCCTTACCGACAACGGAGCTGAATTCAAGGGAGAAGTCATGAGGAACCTGGTCGTACACGGGATGTCTATTCGTAATACGGCTCCTCATATGTCTCAATCGAACGGCCTCGTGGAAAATGCCAACCGAGTAATTAAAACAGCACTTCGACGGAATATTGCAGCTAAGGACACGTGGCAGTGACCTGATATCGTAGATCACATCTGAGCTATACACCGAGGCACCCCGCATGAATCTACCGGACTTTCACCTTTCCAGCTACGTACCAACAGCCTATCTTGTGTCTCGATACCGAACCTAAATAACAAAACGGCGCTGGACAAACATCCCACGCGGGCGACGGTCAAGGACAAGGCTAAGCGCCATCTGGACCTTACGGAACGGGTCCTTCCGAGATTGGCCCGGAAAAGACAGCGTATGACTGAATTCGCCCACGGACGCCAGGTCCGGAGTTATGAGGCCTGAAATGGGAATGCTGGCCGTCGGCCCCAGTACAAATTGGGGGACTTGGTGCAGGTAAGGAAATGTGCGCGCCAGGGCAAGCTAGCGCCACGATTCTACGGATGCTTCAGAGTGATCGAGCTCGGTCCTAACGGCGTGAACACGGTGCGGCTTGCTCCTGAGGTGTCCGGTAGCCGGTCGGCTAGACCTATCGTCCACCATATGTCCTACCTCCGCCATCGCTCGACTTCCTCCCCTCCTTCTCCAGCGGGGTCGATTTCAGGGTCCGAGTGGGATAGTGACGAGTCTCATTCTCTCCTTCCTACTCGCTCATCTTCTCCCTCCTTTCCGCCATGAGTTTCTCCACGGAGCAGGTACTCAGTGAATGCATGTTGGCGCCAGGTGGGCATATCTCGTCGATTCGGCAAGTGTATCATCCGCGCATCAGCCTGGACGCTCTCCGCTTCGCCCAGTTCTTCAGTACAACGGGATTCTACGCGGCAGCAGAGTTTCGATGTGCGATCCCCAACAGTAGGTCACACGTGTTGGCCGAAGCCTCAACTTACTGTCGGCTCTCGGCGCCATGAACTGCTCACATTTCGGCAGTCATCATCTTCAACGGGGATCTTACGCCGCTCGATCCCAGAACGCATACGGCCATCCTTGACTCGTTGCGAGAGTGGTGACCCGCGAGCGCAATTATCGAGGGTGTGGAGTCCGATGCTCGCGCAGCGGGGGGAGAACATCGTCAATACAGACAGTATTGACATAGACAGCATTCGCCACTATCGGCACGCACCAGCGGTGCTCATTCCCGAGCTTGTCCCCTTCCCACGCCCCCAATGAACCGCTCATGATTCTCTACTTTCATCCTCCCAGCTGCCTTTCCTCTCTTTTGGCAGTCCGCCCTCCATCCCCGCCTCTCTTTTGCGTACGCTCGCTTATGCTTCCAAGGATCAAGCCGGGGCAGTGGCTAAGGTGGTGGCAGACATACGTGACTCTTTCGCTGTGCTTAGTTGATATCGATCTGACGTGGTGGAAGGACGGTGAGCAGCCCGCTGTTAGTGAGAACGTCGAGCTGCTACTCATTCAAGCTTGGAGGACGGACACGGAGGGGGATTTTCTAGGATTCGTCTTCGGATCGGTCGAGATGGGCCATCGATGGACGATTATAAACGAACTGCTGGTCCTTCAGACCGAGTTACTCGACGACCTTCCACTTGACGTCATCTCGCACTCCGACAAAAGTTCCGTACCACACATCCTCTCGCGCCGCCTGGTACCATATCTGCAATGGTCGGCATGCCTAGACGGCGATGGTGACAATGCGTGTTACCCATCGCACAACTACCTGGATCCCGGGACGATTACAGACGCTCTCTTCAACCTGGTGAGCGGAGGAGAGGAGGAGGAAGAAGAGGACGAGGAAGAGGAGGAAAGCGAGGAAGAGACCTCCGAAGAGGACGAGGATTATAGTGAGCATAGTGAGCATGAGACGGGGGTGGTGAGCGAAGAAGAAGAAGACGAAGAAGAAGAAGTAGAAGAGCGGGAGGAGGCCGAAGAAGAAGCGGCCGGAGAAGAAGAAGCGGCCGGAGAGGAAGAAGCGGAGCAAGTGGAGGCCCAGGAGGAGGATCCGGAGGCAGAGCGGCGCAGGGCGGCCATCGCGGAAGGAAAGCGGCCATTGGAGCTGTTGGTGGGAGTTGATCTGCCTGTTCCGGACGACCCGGCTAAAGATCCCGAGCCGCCAGCCAAGGAAGATGAGCACCCTCATGCAGAGACTTCTGGCACGGCGACGCACAGGCGATCCCGCTCCCCCTCCCCTTCCCCCCGTCCCTCAGTTCGAGCTCGTGGCAATGCGGGACATCAGGCTACGTCCCTGTTCCTTATCCCGCCATCCCCTTGATTACATCACCTTCCGACAGATCGACACTCCGCGCTCTTTCCCCTCCAATCCTTTTCCTTCTTCGACCTTCCACCAATTCTACGCCACCCGCCTCGTCGCCGACGTATATCCGCACCCCGCCACCCAATGTGTCTCTTCGACCTTCCACCAATTCTACACCACCCGCCTTGTCGCCGACGTCATTGAAGTCTACTGCATCATCACGGAAACTATTCACGTGTGTGCAGATCATGAGCAGTTCCGCGCGGCGCTGTTTCACACCTTCTCAACCCTCTATCCCGATTATCTTGCTTCCCTCCCTGAAGGCGGAAATCACTTCCCCCGCATCCATCGCATCATCAGGTACCAGGAGCTCCCGGAAACGGTGATGGGGATGTCAAATTTCTTACCGCCTCTCCCAAATGATCCTCCCCCGTCTATCCCCGCCATCTTCCGACTACCCCACCCTTGAAACAAGGGCGGCTCGAATGACGTGTCGAAAGGATGACGTCCACACTCTTATCCTACGGTAACGACACGTGTAATATTGGTGTGATTGTAATTCTTTCTCCCTTCCTTATGTTTCCCTCTTCAAACTTGGGAGAGATGTGGGTGCAAGCGGGAGCTTGCACAGGATGGAACCCCCTGGGCGTCACATATGTGACAAACTACTTTCTGTAAGGCGCCATCTTCTGCGCAACCGGGATTGGGGGTGCAAAGAGGGATTGGGGATAAATTGCATGGCGGTCCCTCTTTCTTGAGTTTTCGAGGTTTTCTCCTTGGTCCTTCGGAAAGAGACGGTGGCGGTTATGGACCTTGGGACAATAGGCCCGCGCCTTAGCAAGCGCGGCGGGGGAACAACTTCGGCTATGGTCTTTCTCGCTTTTCTTTTCTTTTTCTTTTGTTTTCAAATAAGGCGTTCGTCTTTTTGGCATGATAATGGCGCGGGTAATTTCTTCGGAATTTTTGAATTTAGAACAAGCCCATGCAATTTCTTTTTGTAATTAGGACTTTAATTAAAATAGGAAATTGGGTACGTTGGAATTTTCGCCCATAACTGCACATCGCCTCTTGCTTGCGCACGCGCTTTGCTGCACAGGGACCTGCACTCTGTTCCTGCCGTGCCTAAATTCTAATCTCAACTGTAATCTCTTTTTGTTCCTTCCCCGCTACGCAAGTGTAACTGTAATCTTCCCCGTTCTTGAAATTCCCTTCCCGCGTCACTGCACGCGCGCTCTACCTCCTATTTCATTGGCCGGATTGTTGCATGGTTGGATCGAAGCGTGGAGTGAGGCTACGTCCCCCACGCCGCGGCCCAATCATGCACTCGTAGGCACTTCCCTTCTCTCTTCTTTCCTGTTCCTCTGGCAATCCCGACTATCGCGCGCTGATTAGCAAGCTATAAATTCTGCAAGCATGATTAAATTTCTCTCTAATCTACTTGGGAGTTAGCGCGGTTGTGAGGATCGGC